ATAAATTGTAGTATAAATAATACATGCTTGGATGATCTATCCTATCGCACGTCTCGCAGTATGCAGAAGCTATCAATGACGTGTAAAACTCTGCTACTTCATAAAGATAATTTCATCTCAGGAGACTCTGTCATGTATGCATTACAGACTAGTTGCGAGTTATAGTAGGTCATTAACAAACTCCCTTAAGTTACTGGCGACCTCGAATAAATAAAACTGTTTTTAAACTGTATCCATTTATATAACTTTTACTAGGAAGTGAGATGTATATCGAGTGATGCGTACATAGCAATACTCAATCTGGATCATCCACATTTACCCACCTGGAGTAATAGCAGGAAAGAAATAAAGGTGTATAAAAAGTCATGAGCGTTCTAGGTCGGACTCGATAGATGTCTGCACGCCAAGTCACGCGGACAGAGCACTATAATTAAGCGACATACGGACACACACTTAATTAGCACTTCTCATCAACTGCAGAGACTATTGACGCTCGTATATAAACAGCGTCCTCATAGACAAAGATATGCGCATAGTCTGAGCGAATGAAGAATTATAAACGAGAAGCGGAATGTTTTGTGTACCATTAGATTAATGTATCGCTGAGTCAACTCACATCCACATTATGAAGAGCAGGTAGTCGGCTTATCTTTTCAGCAGAACATGACAAAAACGCAAATAGCCTCGTTCGCTCAGGCATGTGACATATTTAAAACAATTATTCTCTGCATCGGAGTAATATTTAGAAACAAAGCAGGAAAGCGAGACAATTTTCTAGAAAACATACATATTTATCCTGGATAAAAAAAATAATAAGCAAGAGATCTGGTGTCTATAAGCATCATTGTAGAAAGAAGAATAGTATTAGCATCTCGATCACTCGCCTTAATACTTCTGGGATGCAATCTATGTAATGATTAGAGCAAATGCACATGGTCAGAGGTTATTTCCCAGTACTAGGTCATGAGTAACCTGGCAGTCATGAATAAGTTACCTGACGAGGAAGGTGCCTTGACTTAACTATAACACACCTAGTTAGAGCTAGAAAGAGAATATAGTATCGTGACAGTATTCACTATGCGAGAGCAAGCGAACGCGACGCATAGGGGCAGCAATCGAGGATAGAGAACAGCAACTACACGAGGAGAAATATAAAAGGTCGTCTACGCGAGCGAGTCGTGGAGTCGCAGCGCTCAGCGGCAGCATGGTCCTATACGAGTCTAAATCCTACATGGCAAAGCGGCGCGCCGCAGGGCAATTCCCCTGGAACACTCACGAGACCGGCGCACCACACGTAAGCGTGCCCGCACTCGAATCGCTATGGAAGAAGCGGGCACGAGATGAGGAACAGGCGGTATGTGGCTGCTGGGCACGTTCGTAATCGGGGATGTTGAACTGGAAAGGCTTCGAGCGAGCGGCGGAGAGTTGGGGATAAAGAACCGAGGTCAGACGATAGGAGCTATCTCGTGAGAACGAGGACCATAGAAATAACGACAAATGAGATACGTGTGGCGAGTGCGAGCCTGGCGTCAGCGCAGCTGAGAACGCCCGAACGATGGGGAAAAAGAGCTGTCGTAAAGCAAGACGCGATGTGCTTTTTCCTTGTGTCAGGCAATATAATGTACGGGGCAGACCGTGAGCATGAACAGCGTTTTATTTGCATTCCTCACAGGTCGTTCAAGCCTAAAGGCATCAGAACTTCAAGGATCTGAAAAGGAGCTACGATCTCTCAGTCAACCTGAGAGAGTAAACCAGTCTCAAGAAAATGTTTTTCTTGCTCTTCTCATGAGGACAATACTAGTGATTTAGTATCGCGAATACACGGCAAAATATTTTCTTTGTCGCGCCTAATCCTGTAATTAAATAGTCCCTTCTTCTCTTAACAGTTTGAAAAAACAAATATCAAGTTCACCAACTAGATTGCCAACATTCAGTTGAATAGAATTCTGCACAAAAACGCTCTCTCGAAGGGATGTTGGCCTGCCCATTACCGCTCTGTAACGATTTGCTTCTAGAATGAAAAACACATTCGGCTCCAACACTTATTTTTGATTTCCCCGCGGGTTTTATTGAGAATGGGTCACTAATTTTCGATTTATTTTCCTCCATCAATCATAGGCAAACAACGCATTACTACTACACGGACAAAGTAAGAGAAAGAAGTGTACGTATTTGTGAGGCCCAGAATAGCCTAATAAGTAATAAATCTTAACCCTGTTGTGTAGTAAATTAATTCCTCTAACACGTGTAATACACAATCCCATGTTTTGTGGGGCCTGATACAGAACAATCGAGCTTTTCCTCCCTCATAACGCCGTCTCAGACCCTTAACCCGGCGACCGTTGGGACGTGCCTGAGCTTCGTCTTTCCCCGCCGGTTTCCGCGCAACATTGCGCAATGGCCCGGGGCGAGCATACAGGTTGCTGCTGCTCAAGATGCGCGCCGCAGCGCCCGGAGTGGCGAGGCGGGGCTGACGGCGGCGACCGCTTTCGCTTTCCTGCAAACGCAGCGGTGGAGAGCCGTGCTTTGCGCCCGGTGGAGGAGCGGCCACAACGCGCGGACGTCGAACCAGCGCAGACACAGGGAACGAACGCTCGCGGATGTTTCTCACAAATCGCGATCCCTCTCTTGGTGACAAGGGGCTTTGGCGTTCTTAGAGAAGGACGGGGGGGGGTGGGAAAACCCAAACCCCTAACGCAATATTTTCACTACTCAGTTATTTTATTAATATATTGGTTTAGTAAGGCACTTCAGTAAAACATTATGTGAAGAAATGTGATTCGTAATAGAACATGCAACCTGTGAACGAATAACTGGTGAAACCAAACCTGTTTGCTGAACCGAAAATAGATCGGCTGCAAGTGTGTTTCACTACACGACAGACGTACGGACAGACGGCGAACATTGTGTATAAATACTTTTTTTCAGTATTGAAAATTTGTTGCCCTTTTTGTTGCCTGGCGAGACTCAAGTCATGAGGCTGCTCTTCCGTCTATCCGGTATTCAAGGACGCACGAAAGTAACATTGCGTGTGAGAGAAATATTTAACTATACAGTGAATGAGATTTTATCCCTTTTTCGGTATTAAGGCCCACAACAACGTTTTTTGAGTCGAGAATTATCCGTTATTAAGCTGCAGCATTACTCGTGCAAGACTTTCTCTGTATTGGTTACATTAAACCGTGTATACTCGAACATGAAGATGAAAAAAAAAAAAAAAAAAAAAAAAAAAAAAAAAAAAAACAAATTTTGCATGCGTAAAGGAAAATGTGTGGTGAAGGAAGACCCCCAATCGGAGGGTAGATATAGGGCTACGTCCACGAACGCACACAACTAATTTATCTGTATTCAAGCGAAGAGAAACAATAAGCATTTTCTCCCATCCCCGCAAGCTATCGACCTTTTACGTCGTCATTTTCGCAATTGTGTGGAAATAATATTAATTTCTGAATGTTACTACTTAATTTTTTTCCTTTTTAATATAGCCTACCAACTGCTCCTTTAATATATCAATCAAAATGATGTGACTGAAAACTAAAATTCCATCGGAAGACGAGGCATTTTAATCTCACTTCCCTTGACGTCTCGGCTTCATTTTTCCTCCTCTGGAGCATGATATGTGCCTATTTTTTTCTATACAATACACAATGAAGCGTGGAAGGAAATTACGTTTGTCAGCCAAACCGTATTAATCCAAAATCCTCTCAAATAAATATTATTACATTGCCGTCAATCTAAAAATAATATTATGAATTATCTTAATTTTCTACTTGTGATCTATGACCATATTTTATCATCTGTACACAGTTGTTGCAAGGTATCATACCTATCCACCGTTATTTTTCATGAAACTATTGCTGGAACCGAAACGGAATAAATTTGTTTAAGTTTTCTGTTTTAAAAAGAACTTCATAATTTGTTTATCTCTTATCCTGGGTCATTTGCGGAGTGTCTCTTGTGTAAAGAAATAATGTTCTGAGTTCTTTAGAGAGCAGACCCCTTTTGTAATTTTTTTATTTTTTACATTATAGAGGTTTTTAATACTGGAAGGGCAAATACAAGTTGAAAACGTCAAAACCTCATTATTTCGAAGTTCTACGGCATGACATTTGATTTTCATAATTATTTCCTAATGATTAACTAATGGTAAACATTTGGTAATCGCGTTAAATCAACGCCCGATAACCTGACAAACATAACGTATGTTAACCAAAAACTGTAACCATAAGCTAAACGCGAAGCCAAATAAGGAACGCTATAAAAAAATGGTTAATTGCTTGAGTTTTAATACAGCGGTCAGTCACACTAAACCCTCGGACAATGTAACTTGCACATGGCCGTTTACCATTAACTCAAGCTCTCTGACATATACATCGTTCCGCTGGAAGCATCGCATGTCGATGTTATCGCAGTTCGCACGCTCAAACGTATCCAGACGAGAAGAAGTGTACTAATCCTCCACACTTCGCGAACAGCGGGCCCCTGTCCGCATTCCCTCCTCCCTGGCATGTATATTCGTCGAACGCAGAAGCTCCGCCGCGGGCGCGCGCGGCGCGGCCGCGGCGTGGCGCGGCGACGGGGCGTGGGCCGCGGAGGGAACACGTGAGCGCACAGCCTAATGGGCGGAGGAGGGGCGCTCCGAATGTGAGCTTAATCGTGGAATGCGGGCGGGTCCGTGCCACACCGGGGTGCCGCGCGGTCAGCTTACATCCGCTGTGGCGGCGTCGAATTCATCTCGCTTTACGAGTGGTTCTCTATGAACTTTCCCTCTGTCGCATCGGAAAGAGAAGGAGCAGCGCAAATAGCCGCCTGACGAGTCCCGCAACAGACCTAAAGAGAGCAGACGA